AGTCGGGATTTGGTCATTTTCTTCAGGGGGAGAGCAGTGCGAGTCGGGATTTGGTCATTTTCTTCAGGGGGAGAGCAGTGCGAGTCGGGATTTGGGTCACTTTCTTCAGGGGGAGCGCAGTGAGGGTAGGGTTCATACTTTTGGAGTTGTTCCCTTACCTATTCCATTGGGTGATGAAGGCTACCATAGTGAGGGTGGTCAAAGGGATCAGGAGTTGAGGGTCTATCACAGGCGATGCAGGCAGGTTGGTCCCGGTCATCAATAGTCCAAGCCAGCTCCAATCTCTTTTGCGGCTCCAAGTCCAGGTATTACAGTCCCAGGGCCCACAGAGACTTCTTCCACTGTTGCCACTCCACCTCCTCCAGATGACCTTGACCTTCCCATTGCCGTCCATAAGGGGAAACGGCATTGTACCACATCTACAGCCCACTGTATTTCCCAGTTTTTATCCTATGATCGCCTATCTCCCACCTACAGGTCCTATCTTACTTCCGTTGCTAATGTCCCTATTCCAAGAATAGTGCAAGAAGCCCTATCCATCCCGAAGTGGAAAGATGCAGTGCAGGTTGAAATGGATGCCATGTTAAAAAATAACACCTGAGAGCTAGTTGATCTGCCCAAAGAAAAGAAACCAGTTGGATGCAGATGGGTATTTACTGTGAAGCACAATGCGGACGGCTCCATTGAGAGGTATAAAGCTCGGCTAGTTGCAAAAGGGTTCACCCAGACTTATGGTATAGATTACTTGGAGACCTTTGCCCCGGTAGCCAAGATGACCACCATTCGAGTTCTATTATCTCTTGCAGCAAGCCACACTTGGCCTTTGTACCAAATGGACGTTAAAAATGATTTTCTGAATGGAGACCTGCAGGAAGCGGTTTACATGCAGTTGCCTCCTGGATTCTATGATACAGAGACAGGTAAGGTCTCCCGGCTCAATAAAGCATTGTACGGTTTGAAGCAGTCACCTAGAGCTTGGTTCGATAGATTCAAACTAGCCCTTGGGAAGTTCGGTTATGTACAGGCCCAGTCAGATCATACCCTATTCATCAAGAGGGTGGAGTCTTCTCTGACACTACTTGCAGTATACGTTGATGATATTGTGGTGACAGGAAATGATAGCCATGAGATTGAGTCCCTCAAACAACTCCTTCATCAAGAGTTTGAGATGAAAGATCTTGGTGCATTTCGGTATTTTGGGGGTATTGAGGTTGCTAGATATAAGCAGGGGATATTTGTCTCTTAGAGGAAATATGTCCTAGATCTGTTGGCGGAAACTGGAAAGTTAGGAGTCAAGCCTGCGGATACACCCATTGAACAGAACCACAGCATTAGTGCAGAGAGTGGGGAGCCTCTTGAAGACAAGGTTATGTTCCAACGATTAGCTAATGTGATGTAAAATATCTTGCACTCTTGATTCTACGAGCCGCTTTTGTACTAAGCCCCTTGAGGCAAGCCTGAAGAAGTCCATGTTAGGGTCTTAAATTCTTAATCCTTGCACAATAAAAATGATTTCATTATTTTAATTGCCTTTTAAGAAGATATTTTATTAGGATCAATGAATGAACATTAGCAAATAAGGGATGAAGCGCAAGCACACCAGGCGCTCGCCTTTTGAAAGTGTTGCACCTAGGGCCTATGCAAGGTGCATACCTTAAAATGCACCTCGTCTGAGCGCCTAAGTATGCCTTTTAAATCACTGATCCTAATACATCTCTTAAAATTGACTTTCCAATATACCTTGTGTTTCCAATACTTTGAAGCTTGGTAGAATGGCAAGAGAATTTTCTCTAACATGGAGCATGAGGGGTATGGCAACATTGGGGATCTAGGAGAAAGGAGTGGCTTTGATTCAGGAAGTTCAAAAGAAAGTGGCTGACAATGAGTTGCAAAACAATAAGCATTCATCCACCATTGCCTGATAAAACGCTTCAATTCAAACTACCATGATTTCGCGGCCATAGAAGAATGGTTGACCGTTTACTTATAAAAAAAGAATGGTTGACTGTTGAACGGCTTTGTCAGATTGAAGCCTATTGTAAGAAGCTTCGGTTCAGGCGGACAGGTCATTCAACAGGGTCAAAGTGGCCACCGATGGAGTTGTAGAACATGAAGCATTCCTCCACCAGCTGCCTGGTCAAATGCTTCAATTCAGACCAGTAATCAAAGCATCAACTAGCAACTGATTAGTCAGTCGAGGGCCAGACTGACCGCATAACTAACTAGTCAGTCAATACTCGTGATGCCGCAGCCTAAGATCAAGGTTCAAAGTATTAGAAACACAGTGTATCAAAAAGGCAATTTTTAAAAAACATATCCAGATACACCTTGGATACACATGGATACAGACAAAAAATCAAGATACACATGGAAACACAATAGATACTTCAATAATTATGTTCTACAATGTTAGAATTGTTTTTTGATAGAGGCTGCTGAGTCACATTGAAAATGGATAAGCACAGCTTCAAAAACAATGAATAGACGCCCCAATTTAAGATTAATTTTGAAACCAAATGTCAATTGCATGAAAAGAGTAATTGAATATGGAAAGCTTTTACAATGATATCCTCTATATACATTTGAGACTAAAATAAGATGAGCATCAAGCCATCTAGGAAGGTTCCAATCAAAAGATGTTATGTCATATTCACATGACTAAAGTTTCCATCCTACAAAATGAAAATATCCAAGCATTTACACTGATATCCTGTATATACATTTGAGACTAGAATAAGATGTGCATCAAACCATCTGGAAAGGTTCTAATCAGAAGATATTTTGTCATATTCACATGACTAAAGACTACTATGCTCCCAAATGAAAATATCCAAGTGTGAATAAGTGCTATCAATAATACCAGTAACAGGTACATCAGTACTATCAACAATATCCAAGCATATCAATTTTGGTGTCCACTGTGTGCTTAGCATAACAGTTGCATCAGTATCATATTAATCTACAATTGTACTTACCATCAGCGGACAGGTTCCCTCCTTGAATAATGAAAGTGCCTTCGTACGGTCATGTTGAGCTTTGTCACCATGTACAGAAACAACTTTCCATCCCCTATAAGCCATAACATATTGCATCAATAAATGGGTTCAGCACCATCTATTCTACAACTAAAAATTTGCTTAACTTGGCTGTGTACAATAAGGAGAATAGAAGAATTTCAATTTACTAGGGCCATGGTGGCAATCCAAAAGGAAATAAGATAACCAAAAAAGTGACAGGGTAAATAATATGAGGAATTACCTTCTTTGAAGCATATTTTCAACACGAACTGCTTCCTTCTTGTACAAGACAAAAACTAATACCCTGTTCCTGTTCAAAAATATACTTTCTAAATCAAAAGAATAGGACACTAGTCACCTTAAATGCTGATCAGAAAGAAAYTATCCACTAAAACAACATTGTCCATGTCAGCAGTATACTTTTTTCTGGTTTCTTTGAGTTTTTTCGCTTTTTTTTTTGCTCTAAAAATGAATAAAACCATTAATCCATGTCAGTATCAGCACCATACAAGAGCGTCTTAAGACGTTTCATTTTCCAATGTCCAGCTCAGCGTTCACTCTCTTTCCTTCCCCATCCCTTCGAAATTTTTTGCTTTTTTATTTTTTACTTCTTTTAGAAAATGTAGTTGAACACATCAGTCTGGTAATCATGAGCATCTCTTTGAGTGCACTGTCTCAAGAGATGCATCCCACCATTACTACTGTACATAGATGTTTTGTTTTCAATAAGCTTTACCATGCTTGAAATACTTGGGCAACAGATCCTTGCAAACTCTGGTGATGAAACCATTCTGTCTTTCTCTCTCCAGGAAGAAAAGAAGCGTTTATAATAAAAGTCTAAAACATTTCTATCATTTAGTATATATCCTTGACCACTTCAGCAATGAATAGATCCTTGGCCACAGAAGCATCAAGGGAAAAGGACAATGAAATCATTCTGTCTTTCCAGGAAGTAAAGAAATGGTCCTGACTCCTTATATCTTCATGTTCCTGTGTGGTTTCTAACTGACATTTTCTTTTCTATATTTTGTTTGATCTTTGATTTGGTGCTGCCCTTTTCTATGATTTTTCTTGTAATTAATTAGGTATTCGAATGCTACTCACTCCAACAGAGTATGGATGAATGCATAAAAGGTGATGAGGAAAAAGTGATGACTATGTAAAGCAGTTAATTGAGCTCCTGAAGGTGGCTTGCCAAGAGAGAGAAATCAATAGATTGGTTGCAGAGACTACATAACAACAGCATGCCTTCAAGTCCAACTCAAATCTGCACTGTTATTCCATGTATTCAACCTGAGAGTTCTTATTTGCAACCAAAGAAGGCAAAATCAACCATTACTGAATTTTTTAGCCTCTCTGAAGCATTCAATCACCACTCCCATGTTGATTCCTTCCTTGATGTAGTTTCATTGCCTGAGCTCTCAACCATGAATATTGCTCATTCAAGTAACACAGGAGTGCAACATCATCTCTTTGTCCAATAACCGGAGAATGTAATATGTTCATCCCTATGGCATGGTATCAGCAGGAAATGGGATCATGTCTTCAGGATTAACAGCTGTCAGGCTTCCCTGGTAATTGATAGTCTGGTCAAAGGAAAGAAATTTCCCAAAAAGGAGACTCTTGTAGGCCGTAATGTAAGCAGAACTATTGCTTAAAACACTTCTCATGGCAGCTCCACTACCTAGAGGCAAAAATCCTCCTTGCAGCCCTTCAATATTCCACCCATTTCTATTAAACAGTGTCATCCCAAAACAACTAGTTGGGACCCAGTCCCATTATCCCATATGCCAACCAAAATTACACTGTTCAAAGTTGTCTTTATACATTGATGTCAGCTCAGATCTGCACTACCTCCACATTGAGTGTTCCAAGCAGTTCTGTTTCATGTCTTAATAAGGCACTGCTATTCACTGGCATTGGTTGGGATTCCATGGTATGGAATACCTTTTTGTTTCTGGATTTCAATGAGATAATATGGATGACTTCCATACAATTTGTTCTTCTTTGTAGACCTGTAGGGTGTGTTTGATTGAAAGAAAGCAAGGCAGGGGAAGGCTAACTTTCTGCTGTTTTGATTAAACAATGGAAATGGCAGGGAAGTTTCCAGTTTGATCAGAGAGAGAAAATAAATAGAACTTTTTATTTTGTTTTCCGAAAACACATCTAGGTTTTATATAAATTTGCTGCTACCAACCTAGCCATGGGTTGCATGTAAAGAGATCCACAGGATGGACGCACATAAAAGTTGCAAAATTGGCAAATGTAGAAGTTAAATTTTACAATTATTTAATAAATTTTTAAAATTAATTTGTTAATAAAAATAAATTAATTTTATTAATGAAATTAACAAAATTAATAAAAATGAAATTCATGTTATTAATAAGATTAATAATTAATAAAAACTAAATTTTCAATTTTAATGAAATTTAATAAGAAATTTAATTTTTAAAATTATTCAATCAATAATTTCAAATCAATTAACTAATAAAAATGAAATAAATGTTATTAAGATTAATTAATTAATAAAAATAAATTTTATTAATAAAACTATTAAAAATAATAAAATTGATTTGGAAATAATTACTAAGAATTAATAAAATTATTTTTAATGTTAATTAGTTAAAAGATGTAACAGTTGATAGGGAGGAAGCATACCTTTGGGATTTGTGGTATTTTTCTAGCAAGGAAACCAAACGTGCATCTCGTGAGCGGTCATCCAAAACCTACAAATCAGATAGAGATCATACTTGATCACCTAAAAGATAATAAAGGAAAACTTATAATAATTAAGGTGCATCAAGAGTTGTCTAATCTCAGAATGAAACATACCTCTACAATTTGCATAACATCATGGTTTGCTGCTAAATCCTCTGAACCCACAACAACCTGTAAAGACTCAAGTTGTTTTGCAAACAAACGTGAACATGAATTCTTGAAAGGATCAAATTATAAACCAGGAACTATACCTTAACAGGATTTGGATCCATAAACTCTTGAGCTAACTGATGAACAGAAAGGGGCCATGTTGCACTGAACATTACCATTTGACGCACTGCAAGTTAAACTATGTCAACTCATGGAACAAATTTGGAACACAAATAGGCTAATATGAATTAAAATTTTTCTGGCTTGAAAATATCTCTAATTACAAGTCCGTAAGAGAACTTGAAGATAACTCAAAAAATAACCATACAAATCTTAAAAAATTCAAAAGAATAGAACAGGAAAAGGAAAGGAGGATGATAATTTCCAAAGAGACATAATTTTGTGAAACTATACTGACGGTAGTACTCAAGGAGAGATATGAAGCACATGAAACAGTTTGGATGCAGAAGTAAGACTAAAAGTTTCTCAATGCAACCATCTCTAAAGCTGTATGAAAGAAATTTTTACACTTTAAACATAAAAGAAAATGCAGAAAGGCTTTTCCAGTCAGATTGACATATTCATTTTTTCACTAAATTACTTATCAGGAGAGTGCCAGTACAAGTTAGAAAGGTTCAGAAAAATGTACCAAAAATACCTATTAGTCGGTATAGTTTGTGAGCTGATGGAACAGACATGTCGGTTGGTTTAACACCAATGTTCACCAACTAACTAGATCCTCTGCCAAAATATATATTATTTTTTCTTTTTTGGTAATTAATATTCTATTGGGAGAAGAAAGGAAACAATCTTGTGGGAATAACTCCCATGAAAGTTTCATATGAATATAGCAGCACTAGTAATAGGAAATTACCATCTCCAAATCCATACTTTGTGTATTACAAATCATCATAGTACATTCACAATAATATAAAGTTCAAAATGTGCTGCTATATATATATATATATATATTATAGGGGTAGGCCACAAATCTTTAGGGGGGAGGGAGGGAGGGAGGGAGAGAGAGAAAGAGAGCATATTGGACAACCTTCTGATCTAACAGCAACCCCCAAAGGTGAACTACTGAAAAGCCAACGAAAAAAACGAAGGAATAAATCATCCACCATCACTACAGTGCGGAAATCATAGGCCCATAATATAAGAGTTCACACTATTTTTGTTTCTCACTCCTAGCTCCTGATAGTTCAGCATCTCCCAGCAAACATCAATCAAGATTTAACATGATAGACTTCCCTTGGCAAGGGGGAATTCACTAAACTATCTCTGCTCTTCAAGGAATAGACCTAGCCACAGTTAACCACTCTCTAGTAATCAAATCCAAAGACGCTTCTCCACATACCTCCATAGTATGAACCTAATGGATTTACTCGAGTACAGATCAAACCAATCACTAGTCTGGCCTTTTCTTATTAATAATTAAGCTTTCATTAAATGTGATAAAAGAATGCTGTAGAATTTTTGTGTCTAGCAACCCTGTTGGCAGGCAAATGGATTTACCCGAGTAGTGATCAAATCAAATCTGAAGGCATTCAAATATTGAGTAGTGATCAAATCGATCACTAGAAGAGAGATATAAGATGCCAGTGACAAATAATAATGCCATTGAAGATGCAGAAGGAAATTTTTCAGGGAATGAAGGTAATCATGGCATTTTGAATTGGGACAGGTAAGGAGTGTCAATGAAGGGGGTGGTGTAGTGGTGTAATAGTTGAAAGTCAGATTTTTGAAAGRAACTCGGTGTTGGAGCTGGAGAGGATTAATGAAACACCAAAGAAGCTGAAGATCTCAAGGAGGAACTCTCTTGCAATGAGAAGATTCAGAAATCAGAGAAAACATCAAAATATGTTGGTCTCAAGCATGTTTGTTAGACTGAAAGGGGGTCTATTTGGGATCAGTTCAAACAAAATGGCAATGAAATCAAAGAAAGTTATTAAGTAGAAAGGTTTTATTTTTTCAGAGTGTCTCTGGTTTTCGGTGTCTGGTCTTGGTCGGATCCAAGGGTCTGGTTTGTTTGTCGTCATTGATTAAAGAGTTTGTTGTTCGGGTTTGCTGATGGGCTGATAATGGTGGTTTGTGCCGGTTTGGTTGTTTAGTTTGGTCTGTGTTCTTTGTCTCATCGAGTTTGGAGTATTGTTGGGGAATATTGTTGTTTTTCCTCTTTTCTCTCGAGTAACTTCTGGTCAACTTCCCTGTAACTTTCTTCTTTTTTAAGAATTTATTTCATTACCCAAACCAAAAAAAAACTCTTCCAATATTGAAAGAGCATTTCAATCTCAGTAGAATCTGCACACTAAATGACCCAAGAGAACCACACATGGACATATCCATTTTCCATATGTTAGGGTTCATACAAGTGATATTAATAAAATTCAAATAAAATTTTCAAGTCTTCAACTATTAGAATACCAATGAGTACCAAAGCTTCAAAGTGGACAGTAAAAAAACTCTTATTGCAAGTACCAATAAAAAAAACAATAATTGCAAGCGGAAAATGTTAATAAGTACATGCAACTATCCAAAGAAACTCAAATTGCAATGAATTAGTACCAAAGCTTCAAATGGGTAAAAACATCAACCAAACAGTTCAAATGATGCACCCAAGGTTTAAAATGTCGATGTCAATGGAAATGTCGCTTACCAAAATATAGGACATGTTTCGAAAATGTCGAGGGGAAATATTGTAAAAATTAGAAACATTGTGGAAACATTATGAAATATGTGGAAATATGCAATGATATTTTGTAAAATGATTTAAAAAAAGCATTAATACATATTTCTAGACTATTACCATATTCCCAACCATTATATAAAGCTAAGAAACTAAGATCAATAACAAATTAGTAAATGACGATTTAATGATTTATTATGCATTTTCATGTTTTTACAAGGTTACCCGATATTTTCTTCTTATTTTTAATTCTGATTTATTATAAATTCTAATATATTTATTTCACACTAGTAAATAGAAATACATTTATTCTGATTTTTTAAATATTAAAGTTATTATACATTATGTTTTATTATAAATTTAATAAACTGATTCTCCTTTTTGTAGTATTAAGATTATGATAAATTCTGATTTCTTTAAAAACTTAATGAATTTATTATGATTTTTTAATACTAAATTTATAATAAATTATGATTTAGTATAAAATTTAATAAATTTATTCTGATTTTTATATTAAATGTAGAATATGATCTATTATAAAATTTAATAAACATTTTCTGATTTTAATAAATATTTTAAAAATACTAACTAGTTAATATTTTATTGCTTGAAAAATATTTAATGTTTTATATTATAAAGTAATTAATTTATTCCTTTGTTTTTATTTTTTGTTAATTCTTTTTTATAAATATTTTATAAAAATACTAACTAGTTAACATTTTCTGATTTTTAATTTTGTTTTCTAATGAATATTGTATATTTTATCTCAAATATTAATTTTCTTATTATTTATTCATTTTAGTGGCTTTTGAAGTGAGGGTCTACATTATTGCTGTAGACCTTCATGTACTGTAATAAGAGTGAAATAAAGATTCTATTTATAAGTTTTCATTTATGAGGTCTATAATATTACAATAGACCCTCTTGCATTGTAGCATGTTTATAAAGGTGTTTTAAAGATTCCACTTTAGGGCTTGCTATTGTGATGGTCTATAGCAAGTCTTTAAAGTTTAAATAAACTTAAGGCTAAGGTTTCAATTTCATTTCAATGAACTTCAGCCTCCTCAAATCTCGAAGAGACACAGAGTGTGTCTGCAACCAGTGAGCAGCAAACCAGCCCTCAATGAAGCCCTTCAAGAAAAAAATAGAAAAAGACGAAGAGCATTCTCCTCCTTCTCGACCTTGAGTTCACACCTTCCACTGCCCTCTCTCTCTCTCTTCTTTTTTCCTAGGTTTTTCATGGTTATTCACCGTGAGAGAGAAATAGGGTTATTGCATATCTGAATCAAGATGAGAGCAATTTCTTCAAAGTTCCATAAGCTGAACGTCCTGCTTCCAAGAAAAAGATATTTCAGCGCATGACCACTCTTGTGCTTGGTTAGATCCTGAAATTGTACTCCAGCTCCAGGTACACAAGCTAAAACATAAAACCCTCTTCTTTTTCCCCTTTAACGTCTCTTTTTGTTTGATATGAGATGTTTGTAGTTCAAATATATGCTGAGTTGTCAACATATACTTGGAAATATTTCGAAATATTATAYATTTTTTTGTTTTTTGGAACGATATGGTCGACATTTACCGACACATGTCGGGCGACATTTCGCAACATTTTAAACCATGGATGCACCAGCTAGACAAGGAGTTCTTAGAAATACTTATATTGGAACTCTATCTCCAAGGGAGAATGATTGTATTATGTTATGCAAAGAAGAGAGAGAGAGAGAGAGGAGACTGAATAAGCTCCCATCACACACCAGAACATGTCTGACTCAATATTGAACGGACTTCTGGTTCGAATCCCATATCAAGCATTCGATCTGCTTCATCTAGAACCTACAGACAGGAAATAGTAATGCACAACCAGCAAGTCATAAAATATAGTCATGTTCCAAGAAAATACTCCCTCACAACTGAACAATACTATGCAATTTAGACCGGCATCTTAAATTGTGGCAAGAGAATAGGAAAACCAAATATAATTTCATTAATACTGCATATAAAGAAAGAAAAACAATTTCTAAGCAATTGCTACAATGAAAATTAAATTAATGATAGTGATGAAATATTGAGCAAAAATATCCAGTCAACTGCTCCCAACATCCTAGAGCACACATAGGATAATGGCCTTTTTTCATAGTACATGATAAAGAGAAGCTTTAGACTCACAAAGAGAAAAAAATCAAGATAAATCGGATTAAGACAGAATATGTGAATTTCATTTTTTGTAAAAAAAATAGAGCAATAATAACAATGGTGGTAAAATTAAGATTGATGATCAGAGATACCCCAAATAAACCATTTCCAGTACGTTAGATCAACCATTCATAATGAGGAAGAAAATTAAAGAGGACATTGTCCATAGAATTACAGCATGGTAGTTGGAGTGTAGAGGTGTGTATATCTAGCATGCTGCGTGATTAGTATATACCAATGAGACTAAAAGCAAATTCTTAAAAGACCAGCATTTCCATAAAGGTAAAAGTGTTGAGAAATCAAGAAAAAAAATGCTCAAAAAATGAGTAACTGATATGAATGAGTGGCAAAACTAGAGAGGGCAATCAGAAACAAGTGCACCAGATAGGACTTTGGAATAACTTTAATTAGTGACAAGATGAGGAAAGCCAATTGAAATGGTTTATTTGTGCATAGACAACAAATTACTACATCAATGAAGAGTATTTGATGCAAGTAGAAGGATGTAAACGAGCAAAGGAAACATGGCATGGAGTGATGTGCATTCTACAAGTAGAAGGCTCTTTAAGAGCAAAATGAAGACCGAAGAAAACATGGTCTGAAATGGTAAAAAATGATCTAAGGACTTGCAGCTTGACAGAAAACATGGCTCTTGATAGAGCAAGGTGGCAGGAAAGGATTCATGGAGCCAACCCAAAAAGTTGGGATTAAGACTGAGTTGAGTTGGGTTGACAGTACATGACACCATGAATTAGTATCAAAAGGGAAAAAGGTTTAAAGCAATGAGAACACAACTAATTTGGCCAGCAACTTTGCTTTGAAATGATAATATGAAATAGCCCAAAGCTGCAAGCATGCATCCCTCTAATGGTATGCATAGATAATTACAGATATCATAAAATAGTGTTTAAAATATTATTATTCGCCAAACACTCTATTGGAAACTGAACCATATATTTCTCAGGTTTGCATGGGCTTTCATGGTAGAGCAGCAATTGTATATATGTGAACCTTGCCCAATTTCATGGGCCTATGAATTTGCTCTTACAAGCCGTAGTACTCCAAGGAAACAAAAATCCATCCCGAATTGAAAAATAATAAGTAAAGAAAAACAACACCATATAATAAAGATACTATTCAAAAAGAACCTATAGACCACATAGCATGTAGCTGCTCTTCCACATCTTCCCATCACAACCTCTTGCACCTCCCATCCCACCCAGATAGGGCTGCAAACCTATTGGTTTGAATACAAATAGAGGTGTAACCAAATCTGATCTTATGAGAATCCAAGAGATCCAACTTCAATTCAATATCCAACAGATGGTCTTTTCTATATGCTTATATATAATTAAACCAGATCAAATCCTAACGTATTTACACCAAGCAATATCTGAATTTGATCCAATTAATAAGCAGATCACATATTCAAATACTAAATGATCTAATTGTAGCTAAATGTATAACTGAATCCAACTTAAACGGATCATATTCAAATTCAAATTGGATAAAACCTGATCCATTTGCAGCCTTACCTGGGACACCTCCTTTTCCCTTTAACCACAAGTAATGATTCTCAATTATACCTCCTCCAACCCATCAACCACTAGAGCTGCAACTTGGGTGGGCTTGGGTTGATCATTTGCCAAAATTCCAATGAGCGCAGCCAGAGGGCCCAGGCAGAATGTTGTGTAAATACTTCAAAATGGGTACCTGACTTGCACCCCTATCAACCACTAGAGATTTCTCCATCAACATGCCCATACACACTCCACTTCTGAAAAAATTCTCTCCTTTTCTTAGAAGGTTCTGGCATCCCTTTCTTCCCAGATAATCCACAAAGATGGCTGCACAAAAATATATTCATAATTTTTTTTTCAAACCCAACTGACCCGCCCAAGCCCAACCAAGCCTGGCCCAACCCAACTCGAGCTCAAACCCGGCCCCAAGTTGTGTTGGGTAAAGCTCAAGTGGGCCTCTGTTGATAAACTCAGGCTTGGCCTAGAGCATTGGACAAAGCCCAAACTCAACCTGACCCAACCTATCTGAATTGCACCCTCAACTAGTCATTGTGCATGTATGTCACTTATCAAAGAGCCAATGGAATCCACATCACTTGAACAAAAATTCAGAGGTGAATTCGAAAGAAGTAAACTTAATGCAGGAGCTGCCATCCTTGAGTAGGTTATTATACTTGCTTCACCCCCAATCCCCCATCCCACAATTATATTTCACCCTCAAATCTTTCTATGTTTTGTATGCCTAGCCTATGCAGCTTGATATTATCAGCCTCTTTGGTTAATGAATGTATTTTTGGCTCATCAAGTAACCACCTAGGCCCCCATTCAGTTGCCAAGGCACATCATCAATGTCATCACCAACCTCACCTAGGCATTTTGAAATTACTGCATTTTGTTGCCCTAATGGATAGATTAATACTGTGGCAATAAATGAAGATTGAGGACCCCACCAACCATAAAATTTATGCAAGTGAACCGATGAATTGAACACCACCATGCTTTCATTTAATTAGCTCCCATTTGACAAATCAAAATAGCACTTTGGTGAGCAACATCAAGGCTGCAAAGAGTACCTGTTTATTCAAATCCAATCTGCTTAAGGGTGAATCGAGTTTGAACCATTTATAATTGGAAGGAATATAGATCAAGCCCCATCTGATCCAATATAATACAATTCATCCGTGTGCATGTATATACATACACACAAAATTTATAATCTATCTATTAACAAAGTTTGTTTAAATGTTCTATGTTTACTAAAGAATCAGAGGTTCAAGCTTATTAAAAAGAAAGAAAAGAGAAGAGTCATAGGTTCAAATCTAATAGAAAGCTTTCTTCGATTCATTTTATTCATGATATACAATATCAAAGTCAATTTTAGTTCATTTATAATAATATATAAATTTTTAACATTTCTAGTTTAATTTATTAACAGCATTCAATATCTGAATTAAATCTGGATCCAATGAATAAGATTTTATTCGAATCCAAACATTTACTAATCAAAATTGGATCTAGGTATTACCCAATTTAATCCAATCCGTTTGCAGCCCTCCATGCCTCAATATTAGCATTATTCAAAACAGATCTTATCTACATGAGATTCTTAACAAATTGGGTGTACAAATGGGATTAAGATCACCAAAATTGTTTCCCCTTCTCTTAATGGTTTTGCCATAATTTGACACTGTACTAAGAGAAATGTGTCTCCAGATACATCAAAATCCCTCATTTGTGTCGATGCAAAAAGTTGCCCATTCACATGAGTCAAAATGAAGGTTCAGATGTACAACACTAATACTACCAGCAAATAAGGAAAGAACATGTGCACTACCCATCCAATGGACAATGGAGAAAAGCAATAAGAGTAGATATACACCAAACAGACTTCTTTACAAGATGTTATACTCACCACAAAAGACACCTCTTTTAAGCAGCACACACCCATTTCCATCAGATCCTTCAAACGGCCAGGAGTCCCAATAACAATATCCTAATTACCACATGAAAAAGCATACTGCATAAGATTGGATGGAAGAAATCATAGCACTATGCAAAGGTTAAGAGTAACTTTTGTCAAGGCTTAATAAATAAAATTGTTAGTAGCAATGCAATTGAGGCCAAGTGTATGAGAAGGCAGGTTCAAATCTGAGAGTTTTTTTTTTATGAGTGTTCAAATCTGAGAGTTTCCATGTGCAAAAAACTTGCAAAACCTTTCTTCCCCTTTTTCTTATTTTTGTTGGTTTGTGTTTGTATATGTGTGTGCAGGGGGGTATTCATACACAGTAGTGCATTTAGTTTGAGAAACTTCATTAACTCATCTTTAATAACTACTCTTGGCAACTGAGACAGCAACCAGAAATGGGTTCATATGTTCCTCACTATATCAGCCTCTTCCCATATGGCAAGTTTCAGACTTCTAACCTCTTCCAGAAATGGGCCCATATGTTCCTTACTGTCTATCAACCTCTTCCCATATGACAAGTTTCATACTTTTAACCCTCTGACATATTGCATAAAGAAATACCCTTCCCACCTTGTTTATTAAAAACACAGAAATTTAAGATTTTTTTGACATAATTACATGTAGGGAGAAAATACAAGTGTAACTTGCAGCAAGTTATGGGGCTAATGTGAACAAGGCCAGATATAATTGGATTCTTTTTCTTAAGTGGCTAATTAAATGCTCTCTCATCAAATGAAACAGCCTCAAAGGCTTAGGTTAGACCGCCATGAGGTTTTAAAAAAACACCATAGCTACTTCATTAGAGGTTAAAGACACAGCACTACATGGCATAAAGGTTGAAAATATGATAAAGAGTTGCACGGGTAACATATAGGTTTATGCATGCAATAATTGTTAATGGATGTAGTAAATAAAATTTACAACTGCAGAAAATCCAGAATAAAATGGGAAAATATATCAAAATATCTTACAACTCCAGACTTCAGACAAGATATTTGAGGTCCTTTGGAAGTTCCTCCATACAAACAAACTGACTTGACACCACAGGTCTTTCCAGCATCACTCAGAACATCTGCTATCTGTCAGCAGTGCACAAAGTCAAAACTCAAAACAGGAATACATGTTTTAGAGAAATAAGAACAATTAAATATTTCCACCTACTAGTTAATCTAATTTAAAGAAAAGCAAAGAAACCCAAAATCTATATAAAGATCCCTTCCATTTGGAAAAATGGAGAAAGAAAATTTGCAAGGATGTTCCATACTGGTTAAAGATTTGGACATGAAAATAATAAGCTTCAAGGTAAAAAGAAGGCCATATGATACTGATCAAAAAAAAAAGAAGGCCATGATCATCATCATTAGTATAATCATTACTTTCATAATGCCATTATTGTTTGCCAGCTAGTCAGGCCAGACAGTTTTCTAACTGGCCTAACAATCTGCCATGTGGCAACTTCTTTTGGGGCTCAAAAGCCCCCTATTCCTCTCCCTGACCTTTATTGACAACTACTGTAACTTAGAGGAATTCCATTACAAGGGATGCATGGCTCATATGGACTGGGGGAATGAAAATGCATCTAATCCAGAGGGTTCCTCATGGCAGAAATAGGAGGGGCAATCCAGCAAGCTTCCTTAACTAGGAAACTTTTCAACAACAACAATAACAATAAGTAATAGTAGTAGTAGAGGCATATCACATTCTTTTATAAATAAGCACTACCCCTGCGGAAAGAGAAAAAACAAACAAGTGACAAAGGATGTTAATACACAATGGTGTTTTTGTCTTTTAAAAGATTGCTTTCAATAACCTACCGAAGGTGTATCCACTTTATCAAAAATAGGGCAAATCACCACCCTATATATGCATTATGGCCAACACCTCAACATGGAGGRTAGGTCAGTCTACTACTTTTAAGAATCTGAGAAGTATGCCTATAGAGTGGGATATGAGCACAATGGTACTATAGACTACAATCAGATATTTAACACTTGCTGAAAATATATTCAAATATAGAGGTTTTCCTAAATCTCTTTGTGAAATAGTTGATAGAATTGACTAAAAGATCTGAAAATAAATTGTTGTACACTATGCATCGACAGAGTAAAACATTTAGTGGTGAAGAGTGAATACTTGTTGAGCAAGCTCCCTTGTAGGTGATAGTACAAGACAAAGAGGATTTAATTTCTTTTCCTTTTTCTTCTTTCCATTGTGCAATATATGCATGAGAGCTGGAACACCAAATGCCAATGTCTTACCTACCATGAGAACAGATCAAGAAATGAGTCCAAATATGGAAATGTGATTGTTTAGTAGACTAAAACCTGTAACAAAAAACAGGTATTTTGTAAGAATGAACATGAATTGGCAAGGTAAATTTATGAAAGGAAACTGGAGGCTACCTGAGCCAGTGGCTGCAATCCCAATGAAATCCCGGCCATCCAAAAGGAAAGGCCAAGCATGGGACTGAATTGGTGATGGTTTGCTGAAGTTCTTGCAGCACTCAAGTACCTCATCAGGGAGATGAGATTCAGCAAACGAGCTCAAAGGTGCATACTTTGACTCTTGTGTATTCTTTCCAGACACGACCACACCATTGTTACATTCTGCCTCATCTCTTTCATTGCCACCCATCTTGATTTCATCTTCATTTTTCCTTCCTCCAACACCATCAGATTTCTTCTGTTTCCTGTCCTCCTTATCCAATATTTCTGGGGTGTCGCTGCATATACCATGATTAATATCGAGTTCCTTGCCTGAATTTTCTTCTTCTGCTCTCTTCTCTTTCTTCTTCTTTTTCTTTCTCTTCTTGTCCTCGGCTTCTCTACAAGGACCTTCTGAAGCTTCTAAAATTTGGATTTCTTCATGAACAACCTCAACCTCTTCGGACTTTCTTTTTCTCTTAACTTCTTCTTTCTGATTCCCAAGCAGCTCTACCTTTCTATCCTCTTCAATGAAATCACTGTCTCTGAATTCCTTCTTCTTCTTCTTCTTTTTCTTTCTCTCAGATTTAATCTCATGGTTCTCTGCAGCTTCCAACATCTCTGGTTTGCTGAAATTAGCTACTTCTTCAAATTTTCTACCCATAGCTGGACTATGTAAAACCGGGCCAATATAAGAAAGAATGCAAGTTTGTTTCCTAGGATCCTAAAGAACTCAGAAAGGTAAAAATTATGTTTTTTTCTAATGGAAAGCATGAAAGTATTCATGGATTATATTATGGAAAACATGAAAGTATTCATGGACTATATTCTTAAACTTATTTAACATGAGTTACAAAGTTCACAAAAATTTCATGCCTGCATTGAAACTATTTACCCTGCTCAAACTGATGTGCCTCGATACCCTTTTGAAGAATTAAAATAGTGTTATCCAATAGCTAAAGTTCCCCCAACTGACATTTAACCCAAAATTTGCATTTGCTGCACTTGGATTATAGTTCCTTGGGCTGAACCCTGACCTAAAACCTTGAGTTATTTCATTTTTCAGGCTGTATCTAACCCAACCCTTGGGTAATCCAAGCCCAGCCCGAACCATCCCAGCTGCATACATATTTACTTGCTTATATACATAAGCACACATACATACAAGCATATAGACATAAAATATCCTTATCTAGAGGCGTAAATCGGCCCATGCCGCCCGCAGCCCGGCTCGATCGTGCCGGGCTTGGGGTTTCAAGTCAGCGGGCCGGGCTGGCACGACCCAACACGGCCCATATATATTTTATATATATTTATGCATATAGTATATATAATATTTATATATTTTATATATAATATAGTATACATTGTATAAATTATAATTATATAATAATATATAGTATATAATATATTAATAAAATAAACATTTTTTCAATTTTATTATACTATTTTATTTATTTATTGTATATAAAAGCAATTGTATACACCAAAATTCATATAAATTAAAATTTTAAGTTTTTTTTCAATTTTTAAATAAGTAACTTTGGCCCTGTCCACGGACCAGCCCAGTCCGTGGCCCGCACGGGCTCGGGCCGTGGGCCATGCCGGGCCAACCCCCAAAATATCCCAAGGGAGGGAGGCAAGGCCCGCGGGCCACGTTTTACACCTCTATCCTTATCTAATGGTTTAGATAGGCTTATGACCATTTAATACATTGAACCCAATAGGCCCACCTAAGCATGGGTGACCAGCCTAAGCCCAACCCGAGTGTGTTAAATTTTAGTTTGTGCCAGGCCTAAGTTGGGTAGCTCGGGCTTGAAGCCTCGGTCCAAGCTCAGACCTTAAGCCCAAAAGTTAGGATTGGGCTTTGGTTGACCTAAACCTGGCCTATCCCACCCATGTTGCAATCCTACTTCATGAAAGGAGYTGACAGAAATGCTAGTAATTTGAATAAGAATCATCCTATAAAAGGAATAAATACATAGAGAGTACAGACAAGGATGCAAATGAAATTACAGACAAGGCTGGGCAGTCAATCTGCAAACTGATACTACCTCTGCCAAAGGAATTCAACACAAGCAAAATCTGAGACTAGCTTACTTAACCATGACATAGCCAAGTTGGTTGATGTTTGGCCGGCTATAATGTTATGCAAGCTGAGAAGCATCTTAAGAAAGGAGCTTTACAAAACTCCCACTCAAATCTTCCACAGAAACTTAATGAGATCAACTCTGACCACCAAAATAGGTAACTGATAGCGTTTTCAGGAACTAAGTCTAAGTCTTTTTCATTTTCCCTGTTCTCCATTCATGCCATGTCAACAAAAAGAAACAAGGAAACTCATTGCTGAGGTTTGTTTCGGTTTTTTTTTTCAGGGAAAAATATAATCATTTCAAGAAACTCTCTCCATTTTCCAAAACATAGAAAAATAATTTCCAAAAAAACTAAAAGAGCGTTCTTTCAAAATATGCTGGTGTGGCATCAAAATGAGTACTATTTAAGCGTCTAGCATAAGCCCACAACTGTGCATTCGTTTCAGTAAATTAATAAGTAATAAGACATACATAAACCACATGAACAAGAACCCAAAGGTTAGAATGAACCAATATAATAAATAAAAAAATTAAAATACAAATTCAAACTTTAATACGGAAAACTCCAAGAGGTAAAGAGCCATAATATGTTGGGAGCCTCTGTAAAGAATTTGGGAATTAAATGTTTTCGTTCTGGTACTCAATTTCTCACAGCTAACAGCTTTCCAGCAAATAAGCTCGTCAGTTACAAGAAGACATTTTACGTGATTATATAAAAGGAGGTCGGTCCTTTTGTACATGTTCACATCTAAGATAAAAAATCCAATTTCTAGTTGAAGTGAGTCTATTTCATTGCACGGAATCTTCTCAATCTGAAATTCTATAGCGATGAGTAATTTCAGCTTCACGGCGTTTCCAAACACCTCCTCAATAACAATCATTCACACTCCTTTATGAATCAATAAATGCATCCATATATCAAAAATCAAATTACTCAATGAATGATTACAGAAAACCAAAAAAAAAGTTTTCTAAGATGAAATGAATTGCTGGTAAAATGGCCGACGAACTGATAAACAATAGCAATATTCCTTCATTGGTTAATTAACGAGAGAAGAGAAGGAAGAGCTACCGTTTTGGGGCTTTGATCGATTTGGTGCTGCCTTCGATCGATTTGGAGCTCCGGTCGTTTCAGAGTGGAGGCTCCTGTCGATCGGAGGCTGGCTCTTTAACCCTTGAACCCTGCTCGCCCAAAACAAACACTAAAACCCTTCTCTTGCTAGTTTCACGGTCACCACGTCGGCCACAAATTCACAAAACCACACCACTTACTCATTGTAAGAGGCAAGGTTTTAAAAACCGACTCGGAAACGGAGCCGTTTTGACCTCCGGTTTCCGGGTCATTGGTTCAACCGCCCGAATCAAACGGTTCAACCCGTGATATCATAAAATAATAATAAAAATGTTAAATATTTAGAAATAATGAAAATGAAAAATATCACAAAAATTAAAAAAAAAAAAAAGGAACAGATGCCAGATGGTAGATTAAACAGATACAAGAATAAATATGCAGATTGTAGAAACCATCGTATAAAAGAAATTAAAAAATGTCACCGCACAAATGCATTTGTAGATTTCTATACAAATTAAAAAAGTGCTTTTGCAAATATTCTTTTCTTTTTTTCCTTCAGAAAACAGAGAAATTCATTAACAAAGAAAGGAAAAATAGTCAAATACTATTTCTGGTGCAAGAGACAAGGTTTTGTAGGCTTGCAAAGGCGCTGTGATGGTCACTGCTAATGCCGGTCAACCGGTCTCGTTGTAAGAGATAAATAGATGAAGGAGTGAACGGTCACCGCTAGAAGCTCTTGATCACCGTTGAGACTTGAGTCTTCTCATTAAACCCTAAACGGCTAAACCAATGGATCTTGGACTCCTGGATCCTTTATATTTTTATTTAAACCAATAGATCTTGGACTCCTGTATCCTTTATATTTTTATTTGTGTTTTAAATTAATTTTCAATGCAACCCGTGAATAGTTGTCCGAGTCGGGCAGTTTAGCAGTTCGATCGCATGGGTTACTGGTTCTTTGACAAATACAACATTTATATTTTTTCAAGAAAAATGTCTAATCCAAAACCGGATCCGAGAGCCATCCATAGTCAGTTGACTCAGTTCTCGTGTCAAACAACTCAATCATCCGGTCCAGTCCGATCCAATTTTCAAAATAATGGTAAGCGGCTAAGATTACGATTGTCAACGGGTTGGCTTTGGGTTCAGGACAAGGCAAAGCTGGTCCTGGCACGATAATAACTGGGATCAAAAAATAAGAACCGAAATCGATCCATCGATTTAAATCATAAAACCAATTAACCAAACAAAAGTTCAGTTTCATTAGGCCCATTAGGTCATATCCAACCCATTGACTGCCCTAGMTAAGAGCTTTGGGTGATTATGGGCCGGATCCAGCTTTGCACCCGTGGTAAGAGCTAAGGCCTCCGTTGGAACCGGATTCTAGGCCAGCCTGGACCAAGTAAGTCTATACACAAAACCCAAACATGAGCCCAAATTTTCCAGACTGAGTCGAAAATGGTCACCCTTGAGAACCCCAGCGTAAAAGCCCCTCAAATCGGTACTTGGGTGGGCGGCGTTTGGCAAAACTAAAATCCAATGCCCTTCCATTAGAAACAAATACCCAACAACTCTATTGTCCAATAATTAAATTTTGCTTTTTTTTATATCTTCTATACCCTAAATGAAGTTGAACTGCTTGAATATCTAGACTTCTTAATATCTAAAAGAGAAGGAGGAGCAATTGAAATATTCAGTGGTTTAGACGGGAGAGAATAGTAGGCGGGGGAGTTGCAGGAGACACGGGCGCAGATGTCGATAGCTAAGAAAGAAGAGTGGATGGTTTCAGTTGGGTTGGAAACATTGAGAAAGGAAGACTTTGCTGCTTCCAATGTCCATGTAAAGCATGGTTTTCCAAAATCAGATTGGACTGGATGGTCAGACCGAAAAAACCAGGAACCGGTCAGGTGATTGGTTCTGTTTTTTCCCAAAACTATATATTTGCAAAAAAAAGTGAAAAAACGTTGATTTGGTTAACAAACTGCTGGCCCAAGCAGTTAAATCGTTAGATGTTTTGACCTTTTTTATTTTTTTATTTTTTTTGTTCGAACGGGCGGTCGAACCATTCAACCCAGGAACCGAACCCCTTACCAGTTTGGCCTCCGGGTCAGTTTTAAAAACCTTGATGTAAAGGGAAGACGGTTTTTAGTTGGGTTAGAGATAAGGGAGAAGGGAAAGTATAATCGCTATCGGGAGAAAGTGGTAGAGAGGGGTCCGGATGTAGTAGGCACGTTAGGTAAGCACAATGAGTGAGTATATAATAGCTGTGTGACACATGTCCCAGCTAATGCGCCTTTCATCCAAACGTTTTTGTTCCGCTGGACAGAAATTATCCATTATTTTATTATATTTGTCAAAATAATTAAAAACAAAAACAATGAAAAAGGAAAACCTAAGCGTGTTGGGAGTTGGGACTCATTTACGTTTTCCTTTTTATTGTTTTTTATTTTTAATTATTTTGACAAAAATAATAAAAAATTGATAATTTCTGTCTAACGAAGAAAAAACGTTTGGATGAAAGGCGCATTACCTAAGACATGTGTCACACAGCTATTACGTGCTCACTCATTGTGCTTACCTAATGTGCCTACTACATCCAGACCCGGTAGGGAGATATGATGGTTAATCAAGTGGTGGTGATGGCAAGTGTGGGATCTGAACAAATCTACTTGAAAGGGAAAGAGATTACACCTTTTCAAAATTTTATATTAGTTGGGTTTTATTTTGAAATTTTGAGGAATAGTGGAGGGTAAATTCAATATTTTGTTTTTACATTAGCACTTAATAATGATGTTAGTTGTCAAAAAACTAAAAGGTACTTTAAGATAATATGTAAACAATAAAAGTAGAATTAGTCAACTAGCTAAACCATAAGGACAATTTAAGAAATTCAACCAAACACTTGTTGCTGTTTAATGGAATGGCTTAAGAGTAGTTTGCCCAGCTTGGGCTCGAGCCATTAATGTTGTGTTTGGTGCCATTGCAGTTTATTCATTAAACACTTTGGGATTGATCAATAGAAATTGACGAGAAAGATGTGTTGCCTTGTCGTATAAGAGAGTCAACCCAAACTCTTTTTAATGTTTTGAGTAAAGCATCAAATTTGATGTTTATGAAGGGGATGAGAGATCCATCCTATGGACGCCCAAAGATTGCGGAATAAGGGGCGAATTTCAAAAACTTATCTCTCCCTTCATATGGGAATCGTATTCTCTATTTAGAAAATCATATTTTCAATGATCAATCTTGAACCATAAACTGAACCAGATCTGAACCAAAAGRAGCGGGAGAGGATTATACCTGATACGGAGAAATACTATCTCCCAATGGAGGTGTTCACGCCCAA